AACATCAACAGAAGGTTTAGTTAAATACTGTGACTTACCGGCTTGTTTGTTGAGTAATAGAAGTCTGGATCGGTGTCTGCTGTCTTGCTTTGATCAGGACTGATGTCAAATAGCAGCAGCTCAGTGTTGGTCTCTTTCCCGTCCAAACTGAACACTCCGCTCCAAAAGACCTGCTCTCCTCCTGGGATGACCGAGGAGGCCAGCAGTCTGCTGCCATTACCTCCATTAGAGCTACTGAGAGTCGCTCCACGGAGAGACTTTAGAGTCTGAGCTTTACTGGTTCCAGCTTGAAGCCAAATGAGACGGACTTTGTTGGTTTTAGCTCCTGATGCCACGTTGGAGAACAGAAACACTGTTGAACTGATCTGAAATCCATCCACAAAATCGACACCAGCCTCAGTTTGAATGTTAGGTGTTTCTCCTTCCTCAGACAAAGAAAATATCCCACCAGACTGTTCCTGATCTGTGTTTTGAAGGTTGATTGTCTTTAAGTCAGATGGACACTTTGTTTTCTCTTGCTTCTCTCTGTCTTTCTGGATCGCAGTCAGAATATACGTCTCAGTCTGAACTGAATCCTTCTTCACATCCACCAAAATGTTGACAGAACCTCTGCTGTTCCTCCGAGGTCCCACCTGGATGGGTTCTCTGTACACAAGCTTAGAGATGTTCCTCAGGTCCAGAACCTCACAGTAACCACAGCCCTTGTCTGTCGCACCGCAGATGATTATTGTATCATTTTTCACAAAAGGTAATAAAACATTTACAATGAAAGTTGCATTCCAGTCAGCATTCATTGAGACCCGATGAAACTCATCTCCGTTCTGTTGACCCGGGTTCTTTAAGATCCCTCTTAGGTTCAGGCTATTGATCAGAGTCAGGTCGTGGCTCAGCTGGTAAAGCTTCTCCTGTGTAGAGATGTAAACAGATTCATTGCTCACTGCGAGCTGGTGGAGGTCCCCTTCTAAACTGAAACCTCTGTCTTCCTCCACACCCAGAGCAGGTTCTCCCCTGATGGAGCAAAGCAGACCGAGCAGAAGGATCATCTTGTTCTAAAGGAGGCAGCTCTGACTGAGACAGAGAGACACTTATGGACTGCGGGACACTTTGGTCTCCGAGTCTCTACAGGGATGTCGGTAGAAGCGCTGCAGCCCAGCTGAAAGGAGAAGTGCTTAAAGTGGAAGGAAATGAGTGAAACCGGAAATAAAAACACAACAAATGATTTATGAAGATGTAAGCGAGCATGTTTTACACAATTTCATTTATCTGATCAATTTTCTTCTTTACGTGTATAACAGTCCTCTATAAAATGGCATTTGCTGACATCTGCATGCTCCTTCTTCTAACTTGGTATAATCATATGTTTTAGATCAACGTTTTATATTTTGCTAACTAAACTAAGAGAACATAATCCAGGAATTTCAGGCTTTGACCTTATGATTCATCACAAGTTTTAGCATAAACCTACTTACCCCAAAAGTTCTAAATGCATAAAAATCTGGTATCTCACAGGAGTATTTCTGGATTCAAGGCAAACATCTTTCCTGCAAAAGCAAAAACAAACAAAAACGAAAGAACTGTAAACTTTCCTGGAGTTTTAAAATCTGTTTTTTTTTCTTTTGTTTTAGCGCCCTCTATTGTTCTCTATATTGCCATGCTTTACTTTTTTTTTATATTCTCTTCATAATTACCTCATGTGCCAAGGTGACTGTATTCATCCTGTTAGTGGTGTAGTGTAGAGGTGTAGTTGGCGGATAGACCAGAGCTTATCCCACCACCCTGAAAGCATAACACATACCTAAACACTAAAACATCTTACCCTTGCAATGCCATGAAACCATGAGTTGGAAACTTACCACAGTGACATTGACATCAGCATTTCATAAGGCTTATATTATAGCTTACTCTGCATTATTGTATGGAAAGCCAGGGAGGGAAGACCAATTGCTATAACAACGTTAAGAAGACATTTATCTAGAAACTGCAGACACTTATTTTGGAGGCTTTGCCTTTAAAACTAATGTTCAATCCTGTCTATTAACTCAAGGACAAATCAGATCCCATTTTCTAGCCTATATTTGGTTAAAACCTGCAGTGTTGCATTTTCTAGGACTAGACATGAATCTACTAAATATCACCAGCCTTTCCAGACAGACTAATTTAGTTCTGTTGAAAGTTATTTTGAAAGATTAACTCTATTTAAGCAACTTATTGGTTGAACTAAGTCATTTTATTCAATATTCTTTTATTTTGTTAATATGTATAAATATATATGGGAAGACATTTAATGTAATATGCTGAGCAGCATTATTTAGCAAACCTGGTTTTCGGTCTATACTGCCAATTTCTTGAGAACTGAAAAGTTGTTTCAGTGATTAATGAAATATTTGTCGATTAAAAGGCAGTATAATGTTTCTCTTTTGTCTAACATGTTTCTGGATGTGTTTGGCTTTTTTAACAGTTTTTTTAGCTAATACAAATCTTCCTGCTCTATATCCATTTTGCTGTTAATTGTGTGACATAACATGAATTCAGTTTGTAAAATCATTCCAAAAATATACAGCTTAGTAATTTGGATGGAATGCAACCTAAAGTCTCAGATAGAGCTTTAGAGCTCTTTGACAAACGTCTATTCCCAGTGTGGATATCAATCAGCAACAGCAATCGCCTCTATAAGCTGTCAAATTAAGAACAAATTAACTAAAAGCTCAATCTTTGC